CAAGTTAGTAGAATAGTTACAATAATTAATACATTGCATATTGTTTTCTTCCTAGTAGTTATTCACAGTACAAGATGCAGACATGATATCTTGTCCAAACAATAGTACAAATCTTTCTTCTCACTGAACTAAAAGAAAGTAGCTGTCTATCTATCCTATTTTGTATATACATATATGTATTTTTTTCACTACAAAATTAAATAAATATAAATTTATTTATATTGCCCTTTTTTGTTTTGTTTTGTCAGAGATGGGTGTTCCATTGCTGTTAGAGAAGCTGTATTTGGAGAAGTCTTTAAAGGACCTTTTCATACTTGATGCTAGTTCAACTATTGTAGGTACCTGGATTCAGCAAAATAACCCAGTATAGTCCACTAGACCATAATAGGGTTATCAGCAGAGCTGGCGATTGTCTGAAGTTGTTGACTTGAAGGTTTATTTTTATGGCTGTGGATATTCAGTTGCTCTGGCATTTGTTGGAAAGACTATCTTTCACTGAGTGAGTGACTTTTGGATCTTTGCCAAAAACCAGTTGGGATTTATTGATGTGAATTATTCTGCGTTTTAGACGGTGGGTCAGATTCCAATGTTTTGTGTTTATCCTTTTACCAATATACAGAGTCTTAATATTTCTTTATAAAATAATACAAACTTTTAAGACTGACTAGATGGATTCTTTCTACCTTATTGATTTTTAAAAAATTATGTTAGTCCTTATTCCTTTTCTTTCCCTATAAATTTTATAATAATCTCATCTATATCTACTAGAGATATTGCTGGGATGTTGATAGAATTTGTGTTAAATTGTGTAAATCTATTTGGAGAGAAATTGCATCTTTGCTCTATTGAATCTTCTGGTCCATGAAAGTGTGTCCCTCCGCTTATTTAGATTTCTTTTTTTGTTTTTAATCAATGTTTGGTAGTCTTTGGCATACAAATTCTATACTTATGTTGTAAAATCTGTGCCCAAGCATTTCATTTTTTGAGCTCTGGTAAGCTTCATGGTACATACAGGATGTTTAGCATCCGTTTCCAAGCTTTCCTAGTTAGGCTGTAGAAATGCAGCTGAGTTTTGTGTATTGATTTTGTACCCTGCGCTCTTTTTCTCTCAGTTATCTGTTCTGAGTGTGTTTAGGCTTTGCTTTGTTTTGTCTTTGTAATGACCTTTGTGTTTCCCGTGCAGACCAGCATATAACTCTTATTTCTTCCTCTGGTCTGTGTCCTTCCCGTGTGACGCTGAATGTGAGGAGGGACAGAGCTGATGTCCTGGTCATGCTCTGGGCAAGGCCCCAGTGTCTGCCCACTTGAGGCAGTGCTAGCTGTAGGCTGTAGGGGGCGTTCTTTGTCACGTGGAAGGGATTCCCTGTTCCTCTTTCCCTGAAAGTTTTCGTCCTGAGTAGATGCTGTCTTTTGTTGCATCCTTTGTCAGCGTTCAGTGCTGTGTTAGTTTTACTCTGTGCCTTGTGCCGTGGTCTGTAGCACTGGCTGGCAACGCTGAGCCAGCACTGTGCCTTTGGCGTAAACCCATCCGACAGGTTATTCCGCTCCCTGAGTGGCTGAATCCTTGGAGCCTTCTCAAGGCCCTTACCATCTATGTTTGTTGGTGAGAGTGTCTGTTCTTTATTGATTCGCTGACAATGGCTGCATTATCTGTCATTTTTTCTAGCCTATCTGTGTGCATGTCTTTGTTCAGTCATTGAGTGCCTTAGAATTTTTAGTGTGACAAGGGGTGTTTGTTCCCCGGTACCTGGGCATCTGGAAGGTACTGTATGAGGCTGTGTTTAGACTGCTTTTCTCCCTCCTTCCTTCCCTCCCTTTTTTCCTTCTTTCCACGATACTAGGGATTAAACCCAGGCCTTCATGCTGAGCCCCACCCACAGCCTGCCTGCCTGACTGCCTGCCTGCCTGTCTATCTCACTGGCTCACTGCTGGGAGTCAAACCTCAGGCCTTTCACTGAGCTGTATTCCCAGACTACTGCCCCCCACCCTTTTTCACATTTTGGAACAGTATCCTGTTCGCCAAGTTGCCTAACTGTTCAGGCTGTGCTTCAACTTGTGACCCGCCCCCTCCTGCCCACCCCAGGCTGGTAGAGTGGGAGGATCACACATTGCACCACCACTCTGGCTCCTTTTTTATTTTTTATGAGATGGGACCATGTTCATTTGCTAAATTGGCTAGGCTGGGCTGAACCTTGTGGTCCTCCTGCCTCAGCCTCCTAGGCCTGCACCGCTGTGTACAGCTGGGCTGGTTTTCTATGACTTTACTGTAGCAGGTAACAGGAACTGGGGGTCTCTTTATTGCCAGGGGCATGAGCGTTCAGGCTCTGTGCTGGCCTTCCACTGACCCCTCGTTGCCAGGCAGGAGTAAAGCACTGAGCACAGGGGATCACAGCCATCCTGCGCTTCCCACTGACCCCACCGGGGGGAAAGGGTGACAGGCCTGGCTCCCTCTATGGCATTATGCAACACCATGCAGTGTCCGAGGGGAGGGTGGAGGTCCAGCCTGGTGACTTAGTATTTGCTGGCGTGGATGGAGATGGGACGCAGACTGGAATCCCAGGGAAGCCACTTGTGTGTCCTTTCTTGGACCCAAGTCTCTGCCTTTCAGCATCTTGATGCTGCTGGGAGCCGCCAGAACTTGGGTGGGGCTGAGCGGGGCAGCAGTCCCGTCCTCCCAGAAGCCCTGCCTGCGCGGCCGCCAGTGAATGTCTCCTTTGTCGTCAGCCTGGTGTGTTTACTTGAGTCACACTTTGATGGTCAGGATAAGCGTGTGATGCTTTTAACTTCGCCTGCTCGGGACAAGGCAAGCCTCGGGGTGATCCGTAGTGGATGCGGAGGCCTGAGAACCTTCTTCCCTTTGATTTCTGGCCATGTGTCCTATTTTGGTGAGTAGAATGTAGCAGCGGCAGCAGCATCTGTCCCCGATGTTAGTGCTCATTGCGTCTAGGGCTTTGGAGCCAGTTGGGAGACTGGGAATGAATCAGGCAGCGCCTGAACTACACAGATGAGCTCCTTTGGATCAGGCTGCTTTGCTTTAAGTCGGGAAGTGGTGCTGGATCTTATCAGATGGCCGCTTTGCATCCAGTGGAAGAAGGGTAGTGCTTCATCTGACTGGTCTGCAGCTGGTGGCTCTGGATGCTGTCGCTAGCCTAAGGGAGCATGCTCATGCCGGGTCCTTGGTCAGAAGAACAGTTGGAAGCTTCACAGGGAAGAGACTTCCGACCAGTGAAAGAGCTCTCACACACACAAGCCATGGCCGGCATCTTCTGGTGCCGTGGCAGGTCTGATCCAGGAATCCCTCAGCATGTGGGTTGTTGAGTTCCCTCCCTGGTTCCCTAGGGTGAAGCCTTTGTCCTCCTGGGCCAAGATGGTAGCTAGAGATACAGCCCTTGCAGTTGTAGTCCCAGCCACGGCCTGGGAGAAGGGTAGAGGCAGCCATCTCTAAGGAGAGTCCAGAGGTTCCCTGTGCTGGTCAGCTTTCCGTAACTGTAATGGAATACTGGGATAACTTACGAGGGGGAGAGTTCTATCTTGGCTCACGCTTTTGGAAGTTCTGGCCCGTGACCAGCTGGCGGTGCATCTGGCAGCAGCGTATGCTGAGGCAAAGCAGCCCACTTCTCTACTCGTGTCCAAACCGTGGTCCTTCTGCACCACAACAGCTGCGTGGGGGGCTGGAAGACATGGCCCTCTTTCTGGGCCACCAAGGTCCCTGATGAAAACAAGGGGTTTCCCTGGGGACCTGCAGTGGAGGGGACCTAACTTACCTTACAGCAGGCCACTGACTGCTGCAGCCACCTGTGCCACACGCTGGCCCCTGCACCCAGCCCTGTGACCGGCTCTTCCTTTTCCCTTTTGGGGTCAGCCACACAGCCTGGTGGCCCAGATGCCTCTGCCTGGAGGTCAGTGCCCTCCTGCCTGGACATCCAACCCCTTGCCTGTGGCTCCCTGTCCCCTCTCCTCACACGCTTTGCACAGGGCAGCAGGCAGTGGTGGCCAGAAGCCCCAGGCCTCCCTGCTGGATAACTGATATGCCAGGTTTATGTTCCCCAAAATCGAAGAATGATTTCAAAGGAACAGTGGATGTTAAGAGTAGGGAACATTTATCGAGGGAGAGACAGCTCCTGCCTGAGAGGGACAGGCGTGTTGCCCACGAGCCCACTTCTCAAAGGATGTTTATAGAGCCAAGTCATGAAAAGTATAATCAACCAATAAGGTTACAGGCATCACTTCTTGGGCAGTGTCCATCCACGGGGCAGGCAGCTAACGGAGCAAGTGCACCTGCAAAGAACGAGGACCGTTTGGGAAGAGATGCGTCAGATGCTCCTGTCACCCACGTGGGTGATTGATGCCTGTGTAGAATATCGGTCATCATTGTCTATCCCTCAGGGGAGGATGCACGTGTGCTCACTCCATCTTTGTCTTGAGGCCTGGCCTTCAGTGAATGCGCCTGCTGCCACAGTTACGATGTGTTCTCACTCTGAGGAGTTGGCACCGACTCCTCAGGGGCCCAGCCCTGCCTGCCTGCCTGCCTGCAATGTTTCCACCTAACTTACCTGTCCGTAATGCTGCCTTGAGAGCCTTTCCTGGGGTGTTGCCTTAGTTTCTCTACCTGGCCAGTAGTTTTGGGCAAATCTGTAAAATCATCCCTGGGTCCAGGGGTGCTAAAAAGCAGAGGGACAGGTCCCCAGCTCAGTGAGGTGGGCCGCTCCAGGGGCCCTTGGTGAGGCCATGTCCAGCCAGGTGGGGCTGATGGCCTCTCTGCTGGGTGGGGCAGGTCGAGGCTGGGCCCTGGGGGAGATGGCGGTGGCTGTGCATTTGTGTCCCTGCTGCAGCCGGCACTCCGGGGGCGAGCTGACTCCTGCTCAGTGTGGCCTGGGTTTGGGCAGAGTGCGGGGCCCAAGGGGGGGCGTGGGGGCTGGCCCCCTCCTGCCCTCATCTGGGACAGTGCTCCATGGAGGAGGGTGATCCCGCAGCCTCACGTGACCTCCTGTCCTGAACAGGAGCGGCTGCTCATGAGCCTTCTGCCCCGGAATGTCGCCATGGAGATGAAGGAGGACTTCCTCAAGCCTCCCGAGAGGATTTTCCACAAAATTTACATCCAGAGGCACGACAACGTGAGGTAGGACTGGCAGGGACCCGGCCTGGAGGTGGGTGGGGGTCTGTGGTATAGGTTGGTGGGGGAGCTGGGAGGGGGTGGTGGAGGGGGATGAGGCGGGAGGCTTGGCGGGTAGGAGAAAGATCATGCAGTTCGGGGGGGGGGGGGCTGATAGGCTCAAGGTGCCTGGGGGAGCAGTTACCTGGCGGATAAACTGGTCCCGGAGGAGCTGTGCGCTGCAGCTGCCGCATGCTGTCATGCTGGTTCCGATTTCCTGTTACAGAGCCCTGCCCTGCCCATGTGGACCAGAGAGGGTCCAAACTCTGTCTCTGAAGGGAGGTTTGTGCAGTGTCTCGGTAGCTGTGAGGCTTTAGTTCAGTTGCTCCCCAGCTCTGTGAGGGGCCTGCTCCTCTTCCAGCCCCTTTTCACCTTGTGACAGCCCTAAGAGGCAAGGACCGTTGTGTCCATTTTTCAGATGGGGAAACTGAGTCCTCAGCATGAAGTAACTTGCTGAAGACTCTGTGGTTTGCTTTTCTGATCTTAAAATTCCATTAAAAAATTCTGTTAAAGGGTCGGGGAGATGGCTCAGTAGAATAAGTGCTTCCCTGGCAAGTGCAAGGGCCTGAGTTCAATCCCCAGTTTTGCCAAAAAAAAAAAAAAATCTGTTAAAAAGTATTTATCTTACTACATTGTATGTTTATTATTACTTTTTAAATAGTGTATGTTGAAGTGTCACATGCTCAGAGTGTTTGAGAGCCCGCTACTCGGGCCCGACACGTGCACAAATGTCACCCAGACAGGAGAGGGAATGGGTGAACCCTAAGTACTTTTCTCTGTGGGCTCAGTGGAAGATGTCGGGTCTCTCTGGTACTGGGGACCTGGAGACACAAAAGAATGAGACACAAAAGAATGAGAAAGACCTGTCCAAGCCAGGCGCCGCAGGCCAGGCTCCTGAAAGCTGGAACTTTCCATTAGAAGAGTACTGAGGTTCGTGGGCCATCAGGGCCTGAGCGGCCCTGCATGTAGTAGCCCTGAGGAATGGCCCCTGAGCTCACACACATCGCTTCCTCCCCACTGTCATGTTGTGGTGGAGATCCATGTCCTCCTCTTGAGGAGAGGACATGTGGGGGGTGAAGGCCTGGATGCTTGGGGGGAGCAGGAGAACCCCATTCAAGCCTGGGTGGCTCCAAAGTGCTTCTCAGGACCTCTTGGTTCTGATAGGTGTGGCAGTGCTGAGGACCGAGTCGGCATTACCCCGTGCATTCTACAGCTGAGGACTTGGAGGGTTTGCCTTGGGGCTCTCATGTGCAGGGTTCCCTGGCCAGTGACCACGGGCTGGGGCTGGAGGTAGGACTAGGTGACACAGCAGTTGCCTTGTCTCCACACACCCACTGCATCTTGTTACTGGGAGAGGACGCGACACGGCGACCCTGCTCTCTGCTGAGAACGGACCTCCAGTATGGTCCAGGGAAGACCCTGAGAGAGCTGGCGCCTCTGCACACTTCAGGAGGGCGTTGGACTCAGGGGCCTCCTGGTGACGTGAGCAGGTCAACATCAGGAACCACTTCCAGCTCAGCACAGAGTGTGAAGATGGAAAATCCCAGCTCAGCTTCTGCCCAGGAGGGGAAGATTGGCCAGCGTGACCAGCTCTCCCGAGCCCTGAGGACTGCCCGAGGGGGAGTGTCTGTCTCTCCGGCTCTGGATTTCTGAGGAGCTTGTCTTGCAGGCTGCTGTCGCCTCCACCCTGGCGCCCAGCACAGAGTGGCAGGCAGAAGCCACAGCTGTCTGCTCTTGCCTGGCGAGAGACAATCCGGCGAGGCCCACAACGTCTGGCTGGGATGATGGCTGGGCCTGTCCTGCCTGCGGCAGGCCCCGAAGGCAGGCCAGGTTCGGCTCCTGCCATCTCCACTCTGCAGATACCAGCAGAGTCAGGAAAAACAAGGAACCACACTGAGATGCTCCGAACAAAGACACAAGGCGAGTCCCCAGAAACAGACCCTAGTGAAACCCGCGTAAAGGGGTTACTTGACAGAGAATTGAAAGGAAATCTCATGAAGTTCTCACTGAGTCACAATGATTCACAGACAAAGAGAGCTTCAACAAAGAGGTAGAAAATGTACACAAGGGACAGAATTCACGGGGCTGAGGACCACAGCAACTGAACTGAAAAGCTTACTAGAGGAGAATAAAGGATCCAAGCAGAATAAAGGATCAATGAGCTGGAAGATCGGTCCCCAGAGATAATTCAGTCAGAGGGCTGAAAAGAAGGAGAAGAATAGAAGAGGGTGGAGCAGCTTAAGGAGGGACGAGAGGCCAGCAACATGCACGGGGTAAGAGTTGCTGAGGGGGAAGAGGGAAGAAACCGGGCAACTAATTTGCCGAGAGCTGAGGAGAAGAAAAGAGGAGGGATGGAGAGAGGATAGCTTGGATTTGGGGGCCTGGGTTAGGGTTAGGGTTAGAGTTAGTGTTTAGGGCTTCGCGTTGGAGTTTAGGGTTAGGTTTAGGTTAACCCTACATTTTAGTCATGCAAACTATATAAGTTTGGAAATCTAACGTACAGTACAGTGATGGAGTTAATGACAATGTATACTTGGAATTTTCCAGGAAGATAAATCTTAAGTTTAATCTTCTCACTATGCAAAGACAGGTGGGTATGTAAATGTGACTGATATGGTAATTAGCTCGGTTGGGATACTCACCGCACGACGCACTGATGATAAATGCTTATCAGAACATCAGGTTGTACGCCACACACACAATTTTTACGCCGTGATGTTGTGTAAAGCCTTCTAGTGTAGTGTGGACGGAAAATGGAATACTTCTCACCTTTCAAAAGAAGAAAAGTCTGTAGGGTAAGACCACACATGTCAAAGCTGAGGGCATAATGCCGAGTTGAATAAGCCCATCACCGAGGGACAAATGCTGCATGATGCTACTCTGGTGAGGGCTTTGAAGCTGCGGGGTTCAGAGGTCATCGGTTCTTTGTTCTGCTTGGATTCTTCATTCAACTCTAGTGAGCTTTTCAGGTCAGTTGCTGTCAGCAAAGAATGACCCATGGGTGAGCTGCGGTTTGTGGGGAAGGGGAGAGGGATGTGAGGAGGCCCGAGGGAGGGGCTAAAAGGCTTCAAACTAGACCAGTAAGCTCTAGAATCTCTTCCACAAGATTCTACCAATAATGGCTAATAACAGTATACATTTTTTAAAAATAAATTAAGAGGGGCCGGGAGATGGCTCAGTAGAATAAGTGCTTGCCTGACACGCACAAGGGCCTGAGTTCAATCCCCGGTTCTGCCAAAAAAAA